ATCAAGTCAGACACCACCCAGGCACCCCATACTAAGTGACTCTTGTATTATTTTTATTAAAATGAAAATTATAAAAATGATTTTAAAAAGCATTACACTTCATATTAGGTGAGGCATCCAGTCATTAATTGAAAGACAATCAAATTGTGGTCATCTAGATGTCAGAAACATTATTTGAACAAGAATATTTTCTGATTTATCTTCTTGTAAATATCCCTGTATTTTTGATACATTAATTCTATCTTTAAAGGTCATGCTGTGAGAAAAAAATAAATTTATAGTTTAATAGAATTGTAAGCCTTCTTTAAAAAAAAAAAAAGATTTTATTTTTTTAAGTAATCTCTACACCCAACATGGGGCTCAAACTCACAACCCGGAGATCAAGAATTCCATGCTCTGCAGACTGACCCAGGCAGGTGCCCCTAGAATTGTAAGACTTCTTAAAGCTTTTGCAGGAAGAAATAAGACTGCTGCCAGTCTTAATTGATGTAGAATTGTCTTAGTGGTCAAGATGAATAGCAAGTTTAATGTTCTATGATTATTGGAACATGAGTTGTCTTAACTGTCACATAATCCTTATTACTACATTCTATCTTATACAAATCTTCATTTTAAATATTTTTTGAAATTCTTTATTACAAATTGGATATCAAAGATAAAAATGGATTCTTACTTAAAACATATACTTAAATTGATACTGCATATAATTGTGAAGATAAAATTAATTATGACTTAATTCACAAATTATTTTATATCTCAAATGTTGGCCTTATTTATTACAGAACCATTTGAAGATTCATATGATATTGGTTTAAAAAAATATTTTAAGCTTACACTAAAAAAAACCAATGACTTGAGCTTGATAAGTAAGGCTTTCTGGAGGACACTATTACATTCAGTCATTGATTTCTCTATTACTGATGCTTATTGGGAATTCTGGTCTGACATCTGAAATTTCTCCAGTCTTTTTTCTCTCAAGTTCCTAATATGAATTCTATAACTGATATGGATTGAGAACTTGTAACTGTATACATTCTTCCATGGAATCATGTCTGCATGGTAGAATCAGGATTCTCTGATTGTGCATGCCCAATGGGACCATAGTTAACCAGTTTGAGAGCAGAGAGGTACAAAAGCTGACTAATAACACCCCTGATACAGATTGACTTTATGAGAAATACATATTGGTCTGCCTCACGTCCTTAATCATTTGCTTTGCTTTTATACACTCTAGCCTGTGACTGGTTCTACCTGGAGGAATACTTATTCATATTCTCTCCCCACCTTCTCCCTCTCCCTTCCTTTCTCCCTCCCTCCCTTCCTCTCTCTCTCTCTCTTTCATTCTATTCCACGTATTTTCTATTTTGCAATGCTCCACAAAGTCAGAAGTCACTTTTATAGAGGGTGAGCGTTTGTACATTTTCTTTTAACTTCTCTACTTTCAGAAAACAACTTGCCTATCCTACATCACCTGCTCTTTTAGTGTCTATCTTCTGAGAATCTGTGCTGCATTTATATCTAGACCTACATAAAAGCCACAACATTGACTCTATCCCCAGTTGTTCATGTAAATGTTCTCTACTGAATGACATTTATCTCTCAAAGAATGTTACAGTTAAAAAATAATGTGGATTTGTATTTATTGAGAGCAAATGATGCATGTGAAGAAACTAGGCTCTCAGCAAAATAAGATTGGTGTTAAAGTAGATATTAATATATCTTTTTAAAATACTGTCATGAATGTAGGGATTTTTACATGATTATAAGAAAGATGACTATTCAAAAGCATTGATGGAAAGTGGGATAATACAGTCTTTATGTAGTCTAATATGTCCTACCTTTGGAAGCTTAGAAAACAGCTTTCTTAAAGCCATAATCTGCTATAATTATACTTTTTGGACCGTCTGTTTGGTTGAATCACATTAAATTGTCATTTTTGTAAGTCAAATATGGCAGTTTCATATTGTTAAATATAAACACCAGCTATCACAGAAGGTGGCAAAAAAAAGAAGGGACAGGTAAATAAGTCATAGCACCAACACAGTGGCATTAAAAGTAAAAGGCATTATAGTTAAGCTGAGGATGAGCACTTGATGTACTAAAAGAATATAATTAGGGGAATGTATTCATTGTTTTTCTTTAGGATATGTGAGGTTAAACCTTTCACACAAAAAAATAAAAAGCGCATTCATACTTGTCAACATAGATGACATTGTTTTGCAAGTGATGCATCTAACTAGGCTTTGAAGATCATCAAAATTTTAGAAATTGCCTACCTCCCACCAACCTTAAAATGTTTATTATAAAAATGTGAATTCTGCCTTTACATGATTTTAAGATTAGAATTTTGCTTTTATACAAATGGAAAATGGGACAGCTGAAATGAATTAATAATAATACCAAAAATGATAAGAATAGTATTTGACATCTTTTGAATTACTACTCTATGCCAGGTACTGTTTTAAGCATTTTGTTATATACGAATAATGTAATTTATCTAATAGAGATATAACTGAACATGTAAAAGCAATAATCTAGTAATCAATGGCACTTTTAATTTCCATCCCAATTTTAAAATGTTATTTATAATTTTGATATTAATCTCTAGGAAATTGAAAACCTGAAGTTAAATTAAAATATTTATCTTGACCAGGGTGAAAGAATAAGCTTATATGTCCCTTGGGGAAACGAAGAAATTAACTTCATAGGGTAAAGTACCTTGTTTGGCCAATATTCTTATTTTTTGAATCATAGAAAAACAGAAAAAAATATCCCAAGGAAAAGTTTTACATATATATGCAAATGAATATTCACATATGAATGCATTTGCCTGGTGTGCCATCTTTTCTGCAAAAGAATAAAAGGTTTCCAGAACTTAGAAAATCGAAGTGCTCTGCAGTGATTTAGTAAGTCATTGTGAGTAGTTATACTCTTTTTGGTCCAGAACAGCTAAATTGTTTGGCATAACCTTTTGATTCATTTTCCTCTTTGTAGTTATTGATTTTCTTGGCATTATTTACTGAATTGTGCTCCCATTCTGACTATGGACTTTCTGACACCTTTAGTTATATAGAGTTACATTATATATGTGTTAATATTGACTCAAAGTCTTAACGGCCTTTTATCATTGACTTTATATTATCTCTAGAATTTCATTTGTATTTAAAATAAAGATAAGGTCCACATCTATTTTGTGAAATGCCTTATAGAGAGTGTGGCATGTATTTTTGTAATGTTTCATGCCTTAGGCTGCTTATCATTGGGAAGTGTTATATTTTATATTATATGATTCTTTTGACCCCTAGTGAACTTGAAACTGCCTTAGAGGAACAGCTGGATATATTTCCTTAAATAAACACACATTGTTCTTCAAATTGCTAGTATCTGTCTTCTTAATAGGCTCCACAGACAATAGGAATCTTGACTTTGAAGTCACCTCCGTTGGGTTCATGTAGATGTCTGACTATTTCATACCTTTTTCCCTCTCATACTTGAACTGAATCTATCTTTCAACTTGTCTTTAAATGTACAGCATGTAGCCCTAACTTATCTTTTACCTGTACTCTGTGTATATAATATTTTTGGCATTTTATTTTATATGCTAATTAAATGTAATATAAAATAAAATACCAAAAATATACAACACCTGTAAATGCATTACAGACTACCTGGGACATTTAATTCTATCTAATTTATAGTGTCAGTTATTAACGAGAAGCTGGTTCACAACTAAATAAAAATGCACTCATGTAAAATCAGAAATAATTTATTTTTAATTGGAATGCAAGGAAAAATTAATTTGCTTTTTCACTTCTGGCTTTGCTAAGGTACCAAGGGAAAAATGGTCACTAGAATTTTAAAAGTCATTGTAAAATTTTTCTCAGCACTGAATTTGTCCTCCCAGAACTATTTTTATAAGACTAACCTTTTTCTAATGATCATTTCTAACATAGGTGATACACTCAAATTTCATTAATGGGTACGGAATCTCCCAAGACGCTTTAGCGATGAAACTCCATGAAGATTTCTAGAGTTTGTTTATGCACTGTTTAGACAGAAATATTTTTCAGATTATCAAGCCAGTTTTCCAAACCAAGCCAGATTGTGAGAGAAGATTTGACTTGAATGGACGGGACAATTTATTTGAAATTGAAAGAAAAACAAATCATTTAAGTTATAATTTAAAAATATTCTTTGTTACTTGAATATTTAAGAAAGAAGTTAGTAAGCAAGCACAGGAACAAGATATCAAGACATAATGTTAAGAAGATCATAGATATTTTTGTTGCTGAGATTTTCATTTAGGTCTATGGAAATGGTTCTCTGGAAATTGGAACCATGCTAATTTAACCAGTTCTCTTATACTGAAAACAATCTTCCATCAGGTTAAAGACAGTAGGAGTTGTTTTTGTCCTATGGAAACAGCCATCTAACATCTTTAGTTGTTTGGGGAAGCTATGAATCATTAGTAATACTATTTCTCCTAGATTACTACTGACAGTAATTAAATCAACAGTTGTAGTAATTTGCCATATACTTCAGGCCCAATTAAGTGAATCTTGCCATGTTTATCTGGCTATTAAGGGATAAAGTGACTTGGGACCCAGAATTCTCAGGAAGTTGCCTGCATTATTAATTTTTACCAATGTTGACTTAAGTTGTAGAGTATGATAAGTATGTTGGGAGGGGCATCCAAGATGGTGGCATAGAAATATCCTGATCTTCTGTCACAGACACACCCACATCCACAGCTACATATGGATCATTTCCCTCTGAAAAAGATTTGAAAACTAGATCAGTTGCTCTCCACAACGAAGAATAAAAGGACAACATCAAAACTGGTAGCAGAAGCAGAGACATGGTCTTGCAAAAAACTCACCTCTAGCATAGCAACACACAGTAGGGAAGATCTCACTAGACAAGCACTTCTCCCAGAGGAGCAAGGTTTTGGTGCCCCACACTGGCATCTATGCCAGAAAGATGAGCCCTGGGATCTGTACCAGAAAGATGAGCTCCAGAACATCTGGTTTGGATAACCAATGGGACTAATGTCTGGGCATCCCAAAGTGCTATAACAAACTGAGATTCCTCTTGGAGGGTTTGCATGTCTTCTTGGTTGACCTGAGACCCAGCAAAAAACAGCAGTTTGAAAAACACCTATATTTTAAAAAGAAAGAAAGAAAAGGAAAGAAAAACAATTATATGTGAGGGAGATTCATTTGTTGATCTGGAGGCATCAGCTGGAAGGGTGGGGGACAGCTGAGATGCTCCCCAGAAATGGAGGTACTGGTGGATGTCATGCGGCACTCCCCACATAGCCTATTAGCATAAGTAGGCAAGCATGGACATGGAGCCCTCCAATCACCTTGCTGGAGCAGGTGGGCTGAGTGGTCATGGCATTTGCTGAGAGCGTGGAGAGCACAAATCCCCACCACTTTGCTGAGACAGGAGGGGCAAGCAGTCAGATTTTCCTTCCATTCCCAGCCTAAAGCCAGCATACACACACAGACAAGGCTCTTTCTTGCTCTATCGCTGAAGTCTGCAAGCACAGGCAGACATTTTCCCACTGACTTTAGGAAGGCTTTAGGAATGTGCCTTGCCCACTGCACTTTCCAGCTGCCTCACTAAAGCCAACAGCATGTGCAGTCCACATAGGGGATACCTCTGGATCACTTGACCCTGGTGGCAAAGAGGGCTGGTGTTCTAGAGCCCTATGGGACTATAACAATCTGAAAGATAGCTCTCGGCAGGCCACTAACTCCAAGGCATTGCACACACACAGACTGAGACAACCTCAGACTCCCTCTGAAAGCAGCATATTCATTTAGTGTGGAGCTTCAGCATGAGGGACAAGCTTCAGGTTTCCCACACATCTAGAGGCTAAGGGGGCACTCCCAGGGAAGATAAGCAGGAAGACACCATCCTTGCACATACTTTTGGCCTTGCTATGACCCAATGAGACTTCCCAGAAAGGAGCTTACATGCTCACCTGGAGCCCTGATTTTGGCAACTGTCAGCCAGGAGACACTTCCAGATCTCCTGGTCTGGAGGCCAACAGGTATTAGAATTGCAGATCCACAAGACTATAAATGTTTTCATACTTTAAAAGCTGCTGCATGAGGACCTGGCTTCTAATCAGCCTGAAGCTAGGTACAAAATGAGATTCCTCCCCTTGAATCACTGGCAAGTCTTGGCATGCCCTCAACAATGGGGGCATATCAAGAATAAATCAGGCAGTTTAGACAATCACAATGGTTCCCACGAGCTAGGGCAAGGTTGAATGAGAAGGATCATCACCTACACAAGGCCATGCCTCTGATACTGAGAGAGGTAGCTGTTTCATCTAATACATGGAAACAAACACAGAGAGCCAAGCAAAATGAGGAAACAGAGAAGTATGTTCCAAACAAAAGAAGAAATCCTCAGAAAAAAAGATCCAGACGATATAGTGATAAGTAATCTATATAGAAAAGAATTAAAAGTATTGTTCATAAAGGTGCTCACCAAACTCAACAGAAGAATAGATGAGCATAGTGATGACATCAACGAGACATAGAAAATGTAACAAAGTACCATACAGAAGTGAGAGAATTGAAGAATACAATAACTGAACCAAAAAATGCCCTGGAGGGGTTCTGTGGCAGACTACATGAAGCAGAAGTATGGATCAGTGAGCTGGAAGATAAAGCAATGGAACTCACCCAGACACAGCAGCAAGAAGAAAAAAGAACTTTATTTAATGAAGATAACTCAAACAACATCAAGGGAAATAACATTCTCATTATAAGGGCCCCAGAAGGAGAAGAAAGGGAAGCGGGGACAGAAAACTTATTTTGAACAAATAATGGCTGAAAATTTTCATAACCTAGGGAAGGAAACAGATGTGCAGGTCCAGGAAGCACAGAGAGTTCTGAATAAAATGAACCCAAAGAGAGCCACACCAAGACACATTATAATTAAAATGTCAAAAAAGTAAAAAGGGAATCTTAAAAGCAGCAAGAGAAAAACAAAGTGTTAAGTACAAGGGAAATCCCATAAGGCTCCCAGTAGATTTCTCAGCAGAAATTTTGCAAGCCAGAAGGGAGGAGCATGACACGCTGAAAGTGCTGAGAAATATGCTACCCAGCAAGGTGATCATTCAGAATTGAAGGACAGTTAAGAGTTTTTCAAATAAGTACAAGCTAGAAGGATTTGTCACTGTTAAACCAGCCTTATGAAAAGTATTGGGAGACTTCTTTAAGCTGAAAAGAAATAGCAGTAAATAACAACAAAAAAAATATGAAAGGAAAAGTTTCACTGGGAAAGGCAAATATATAGTAAAGATGGTTGATTAATCACTCATAAAGCTACTGAGAAGGTCAAAAGATGAAAGTTATGGTTCACTATAATAATTAGTTAAGGGATACATAAAATAAAAAATGTAAAAATGTGACATCAAAAACCTAAAACGGGGAGGGGGATGAAAATACAGTTTGGAATATGTTCAAATTTAAGTTGCAATCAATTTAACATAGATTGTTGTATACATAGGATGATATATGCGAACCTCACAGTAACCACAAAGCAAAAACTTAAATACACAAAAGAAAATGAGAAAGGAATCTAAACGTAACACCAAAGAAAGTCATGAAACCAAAGGCAAGAGAGAAAGAGAAGAGAGGAACTACAAAATCAGCCAGAAAACAATTAACAAAATGGCAATAAGTACATACCTATTCCCTAACCTAGAAAAAAAAAATCAATATAGTAGAAAGTTAATGAAAAAAAAAAAAGTGGCAGGGACTGACTGCTGTCCCCTTAATAATCATTCAGTCTTTCTTGCATGATAATAGGTTCCTCCATAATTAGCTCTGCCTTCCAGTGGCCAGGTGACTGTTGACCAGTGCGGTGTGGAAAATGGATGTGTGCAACATCTAGGACAGTATCTCTAAAAGGAAGGGGTCGTATCTTTCCTCACCATGTCCTCAGTCCTGCTCTGGGGGCAATGATGTGATAGTCACAGCTCACCTTGGACTGTGAGGTCCAATACCAAGCCCTCAGAATGGCTGAGCAGGTGGCATGGAGAGTCTGGTTTGGGAATGAGCAAAGAGCCCTTCTACTGCCCTTAAGTGCTTTCATCCAGACTTTTACATTGGAGGGAAAGAAACTTTGATCCTCTTTAAGCCACTGTTATTTGGGATCTCTTTTATACATAGCCAGATAATTCCTCCCTAATATAAGAAAAATTAGATTTCTTCCCTATCATCAGAGATTCCACTAGAATGCCATACCCAGATCCAGACGGGAACACACCCAAAACCTCGCCCTATCAGTGAGGAGTAGGACATGTTCTGTAGGTGAGAGAGAAATCTGAAGCCCGGAGCTGCTAGGGGTCCACTGAGGGTCACGCAGCTAATGGCGATGCACACCACGCCCAGGGTGCAGGATTCTGACTTCTGGACCAGAGCCTGGCTGTGAGTGCTGCCTTCAGTTCCAGCTGCAAGACCCTCCTTCCCCTGTTCCCAGAGAGACAGTTCTGGGCATGAAGGGCTGCTCTGTCTTCCCCGTTCAAGTGTAGATTAGACTACAACTCTTCTGTGCCTCCTTCCCTTGCTTCTTTGGACAGAGCTAAGCGTTTTACCAGCCGTCTGGGGCTTTGACCTCTGAGGTAAGACTTTATGGAAAGTAAGGCGGTCCCGGGGTTAGCTCTTCTCTTGGCTGTAATTCACCCCTGCCGGGGGTAAGGCATGGATCCTTTTCCAGGAAAAAGTTCTGACTGGGATGCTCTAGGGAGAAGTGTTGCTTCCTGCTCAGAAGGGACAGTTTGGGGTGCTCTCCGCTGTCTCAGTGGTTTCCAGAGTGACAGGGAAAAAAGGGAAAGGAAGCATTCTCATGAATCAGACCCAGAATTGCACTTCTTTGCCTGTCTTAGTCAAGGAATGCGACCTTGTAACTCCAATTGCCAACGTTTTCTGACTGACGGGTTTTGTGTAAAACTTCCAAACGCTCTGGAAAGAATCTGATTAACCCAGTGCCATTTGGTGCCCTCGGGATCCTACATCCACCCCACATGGATAGTGGGGATGCTCTTTGAGGGCTTTCCAGGGGAAGAAAGACAAAATTAAATTCTACTAAGGCAGGCAGCCTGAGACTGGAGCACTGTTTCCCTCTGGCTCCACGGGAAGAAAACAAACTTGCCCTTCCTTCTTCTGTTACTGCTGAGAGCTTCACCAAGAGCACCTGGACGGCAAAATGGGGTTCAAGTCTGCCTTTCCAGCACAGAGTAAGAGTTTGATAATTTGTATCTAAAAAATCTGTGCTATAATACTCTTTTTCAAAAAAAAAAATGTTCTAAATATTGTAATTCAGTGTAACCACATCAGTTATGATAATATAACTCCATTTTGGGACCGATCATTAAATCTGGAAAAATGTAACGTATGCTGCAATGATGATTGTATCCCACTAATTTTTGGAGCTAGCATTCCAATCATTGCTATAGAACAATACTTAAAATACGACTGTCGAACAATTTTTTGTCCTTGGTGATTTTCTAGTGGACATTTTATACCTTGCTGTAGCTTTTCATGTACTTAGTAACAGTGTAGCTTCGTAACAAATACCATTGCTATATTTATGTGGCCATAAAGTTAGTTTAAGTTACTCTTTATGAAGTCTTTATAGTTTTCAGTCATTATTGAGTTTTTTATGACTACTATAAAATGGTATGACTTAAGAGAAATTATAAACTTCTCCCCTATGCTTATTTGTCATGATTAACATTTATAGAATTCTATTGGTTGTTATGTCTGGGATATTTTATTGTCTTCCTTCTAGAAAAGTAAAATAATAGAGATCTCCAAGCAGGTTATTATGCAGTTGTTAAGATTTTGTTGTATATATTGTATATATCTCCATAGTCTGTTCTAATTTTAATAAACTTTAACTGCCAAATTTCCTGAAAAACCAAGTAAGTTTAGAGGTAACTTCAGTTGACAACTAAGTATCATCACTTTGTATTATCAACTAAAAGTTTTATTGGTTGCTCCTTTCAGTTATTCTGGGTCAGTTTTTACATGAGTATTACCTGAAAGCCTTAATATTATTTTTCCATCTAAACTTTATCACATAGTTGTGGTTGGGAACAGATTTTTCTAACATTGCATAAAAACATATGTTAAGAAAGCATTGTTTAATTTTTTTACTTTAAAAAGACTTACAAGGCATTTCTTGATCAGGTATTATCTTACTTTGCAGATTCATTTCTTGTCACCCCACTTTGCATATTCCAACTTAGTGCATGATACTGAACTTTCTTTCTGTTCTCTGAGGAATTCTTTCCATCAGTAGCTCCTTATGTTGCTTCTTCTATTTAGAACACTCTCCCCTCCTTTCTTTTTTTTTTTCCTAAAGATTTTATTTATTTATTTGAAAGAGAGAGAGCAGGGGGAGTGGCAGGGGGAGCGGCAGGGGGAGGGAGAGGGAGAAGCAGGCTTCACGCAGAGCAGGGAGCCCGATGATGCGGGGCTGGCTCCCAGGACTCTGGGATCATGACCTGAGCCGAAGGCAGGTGCCCACCTGACTGAGCCATGCAGATGCCCCTCTCTCCTCCTTTCTTAGTTAGCTATTACTCATCTTTCAGGTGCCAGCATAGACGATCACCTGCTACTGACTCATCTTTCTAATCCTTGTGTAGGAGTGGAGGCTGGTAGAGGCTACTAGAATTGACCTTTTAATGTATTCCTTTATACCCTACATGTGCCCTGTGTATAAATTGTCATGTATCCAATCATTTAGCTATAACCCTTGAAGCCAGAAACCAGCCCCTTTGTTCATTGTTATAGCGCCAGCATGGTCTGGCACTAGAAAGCCTTCAGTCAATGCCTTACTTATGTACCTGTTTCAGCAAGTAGAAATTGCAGTCATTTGCCCCAAATAAATCAGTATGATATTGTCGATGGAGGAAATATCTCCTGCCTTTTCATATTCACAAATGTCCACGGATGGTGTTCATGTGCTAAGGCCTTTCTGGTGTCAGGTTTTAGAGTAATTTTGTCTCTTAACCACTCTAGTTTTACTTTCTTAAGGAGTATTAAAAGGAATCTAAAAACACTTTATGTCTTGGGTAATTTAACAATGTTTCCCCAAAATTTAAGGCACATTTAGAAATGACATGAAATACCAAGGATTTCTGTTGCAACTATGCTAGTTCCTAGTTAATTTAAAACTTCCAGATTTTTTGTATCATTATAGGAACTGAAGTCTTATGGCTAATAACAAATTCAGAATTAAAACTTGCTTCTCTACATTCTCATTTTTTCTTCTAGCCAGGTTTGGCTCTGCTACTAGGTTTCATTATTTCTTAGATCAATTTTGCATCAGTTAGAAGAACAATTTGTTTGTTTCTCCTCATATTTGTAGCTATTAATCTCAGCAGTAACTCAGCGATTGACTTTTTTCAAACCCTCAACATCACAAAGACATAGACTTTAAGGAATAACTTGAGCCAAATCCGGGATATATTGGCTGAAAATATGAAAGTTAAGACTTCACGTCATATATAATAAATCTGTCTCTAAGTTGTTATGCCATTTTTAAATTTTGGAATATAATTAGAATGGTCGTATGAAGTCATTTCACTGCCTACTTTTAAATTCCCTTCTTTCGTTGTCCTTTCCATAACTCTTGCTACTCAGTAGTTGTATGAACTGGAAATTCTTGAACTGTAACTAAAAGTGACCTCATTTCCAAAGCATTTAAAGTTATTGCAGGTGAAAGCTCTCTCAAGGGCTTTCAGTGCTTCAAATGTGGATGTACAATCTGTGTCAATAATGAATATTGCACATTAAATTGACCTGAATAGTTACAACACAAACTTTTTTCTCGGCGTTGGCAAATTTCTGCCATGAAAGCTTAGAATGGGACATTTGAAGAGAAGCTATTAGAATAATACAGGGACTCTGAAAGGATCTCCATGCAATGTGGGTTTTTCTTTTTTTTCTGAGTATAATTGAGATTTCCAAGAATTTTTACTGAAGAGTCATTTTATTTTCTGGACTTGGTAATTGAAAAAAGGATAAAATTGTTAGGGGAGCAATAAGGAATTCGGTAAAGAATTGAAAGCAAAATATTATGTGCTTGATAAATTTATTACAGGCTTCTTACCTGAGTTGTTTAGAACACCAGGCTAATGAGTCCAAGGTAATAGATTTGAGCTTTCTGTGGTGTGGATGGTTTACTCTCTCTCTGGATCTCAGACCACTGTTGTCACCCTGCCCAGCCATCCTTCAAAGAAGGAGCTGGTTCCTAGATAACACTGAATGAAGGAGGGAAGACAGATCAGACTAGGGCCATCATACAGCCATCAGAACTACGATGTCTCAAAAGGGATATACTGCTAGTTTTATCTATATATGTATGTGTTATGTATATTATAATTTATATCATATTGCTTGTGATACCTCCATATATAGGAGAGCACATCTATGTTTGAATAAATATTTATTAATATTAAATATAAATAAATATTAAAATTAAAATACTTTCATTTTAATTTATGAAGGCAGTAAAATTAAATCAGCTTTTTAAAAAAATTTTATTATGTTATGTTAATCACCATACATTACATCATTAGTTTTTGATGTAGTGTTCCATGATTCATTGTTTGCGTGTAACACCCAGTGCTCCATTCAGTACATGCCCTCTTTAATACCCATCACCAGGCTAACCCATCCCCCCACCCCCTCCCCTCTAGAACCCTCAGTTTGTTTCTCAGAGTCCATCGTCTCTCATGGTTCATCTCCCCCTCTGATCTCCCCCCTTCATTTTTCCCTTCCTACTATCTTCTTTTTTTTTTTTTTAACATATACTGTATTATTTGTTTCAGAGGTACAGGACTGTGATTCAACAGTCTTACACAATTCACAGCACTCACCATAGCACATACCCTCCCCAATGTCTATCACCCAGCCACCCCATCCCTCCCACCCCCCACCACTCCAGCTTTTTTTTATTAAGTGTCAAGTTTGCACACTTGGAATTTCACACAATACAAAATATCTACAATTTCAAAAAAGACTTGCTTCACAGAGGGATATGAAGTTAGTCTCAATTAATATTTTTTATTATAGCCTTTTCATTTCATCAGGCATGTTAAATTTTAGATAATTTAAAAGACATTGAGAGGCGCTTGGGTGGCTGTCCATTTAGCGCCTGTCTTTGGCTCAGGTCATAATCTCCGGGTCTTGGGATCCAGCCCTGCATCAAAAAGGACATTGAACTAATAAAGTATGCTGTTGTCTTCTCTCTCAAGGCATCAGTATGAGTATGACTAAATTTCTCTAAAAAACTTTGCTTACCATGAAAGACTCTAAGAATCTAAGGTTTGTTTAATTGAGGAAGACTTCAGATTGGTTCAGGCACTGCTATGAGTAGAAGTGGTAGGAAAATTTCCAGTTTTATCTAGTTATGATGACAGTACACAATGGCATCTTTTTTTAAACAAGCATATATCTTATACCTCCACGAACAGAGCAGACCACAAACTACTCATTTACTTCCAGTTTGAAACTAAAGTTGTCATGTTCATCACAATCACAGTGTATCATAGACTTGGATCTGGTAGGATGGAATTATCAGGACTTTCATTTAATTTTATGCTCCATCTTTTTATAAATGTAACCTAACAATTACATAGAATCAAGCAAAAAGACTGCAGCGTTACCTAGGCTAACTTTCTCATTTTGGTAGAGGAGGAAAGGGTTTGTTTTATTGCCCATTAGAAATGATGACCAATAAATGTGCCTGCCCATCTTCCTTCTTTGGGGGTGAAAGGGTTGATTCAGCAGTAGCTAACTCATTAAAAAAAATAACAGTCGTTACTGAAAAGTTAAGGTTAATAGAAATACCCTTAATATTCTTCTCTTGTATTTAAATAATTAACATAAACTTTCAAGTAGTTCTTTTTATTATTACAACAATCCCTCTTCCTATTTATGGCCACTTTTTCTGTACTCACCATTCTCATAACCTTTTCCTATATGCTTTTGCATCACCCTTTATTTTCTCTATTAAAGTAATTCCCATACTAGAAATTATATTCTTTGCATAGTTTTTTCCAGTAAACTGTGATAACTAAAACTAGATTTTTTTTTTAATCTTCCTATCACTTTACCTAGCTCTGTATCCAATTCCTGGTAGGATCTCAGTGAGCATTTAATGAATGAATTCATTAATATTTTTCAGTCTTTGGTTTTAGTTTTTTATCTTATATTTTTATTATATCTTTACACTTACATTTAGTAACATAGATAAATTAAAACATATATTTACCTTTCTAATAAAATGGCACCTGATGGAATCATAATATTCTTGGCAGTTTCTAAAAATGTCCATGGCTACAAAGGTTTAAACCTGAACTCCTCTTTATGGTTGGTAACCTAATGACTATTCCAAATTCATAATTTAAAAATTTTACATTGTCTATCACTCAATAACAATATAAAAGTTAGGCTTTGTGTTTGAATTAAAAATAATTCATCATCATTTATTCACCCCTAAGAATGTTAAGCACATTTGTTAAAGATTTCAGTTAGCCATCTATTTATCTGTGTTAGAGGAAAAATGTCCAAGGCCCTTGACCTACTACTCCAATTTTTGGCAAACTTAAAAAGTTCCATCTTTAGCATTCATTTAGAATTCATCTCCTCGGGGCGCCTGGGTGGCTCAGTTGGTTAAGCGACTGCCTTCGGCTCAGGTCATGATCCTGGAGTCCCGGGATCGAGTCCCACATTGGGCTCCCTGCTCGGCAGGGAGTCTGCTTCTCCCTCTGACCTTCCTCCCTCTCATGCTCTCTGTCTCTCATTCTCTCTCTCTCAAATAAATAAATAAAATTTAAAAAAAAAAAAAAAGAATTCATCTCCTTGATCTCTTTTGGTCCAAAGCCACAGGCTTTGACTGAGGACTTCCAAAGCAACTTGTCTTGGCCTCTCCTCTGTTACCTGACAAATCATTCTAAAACTGAACCAAAGGGGGGGAAATCCTCCTCCATATTTTATCAATGTAATAACCAAAATTCTCAGTTATTCCTTTGGACCTTATTTCATCATTTCCCCCCATACTATGCACATTATGTTGTTTAAGATTTTATAGGCAAGTTCTCATTTCACTGGAATTTGTGCTTGGAACTTCACCAAATAACTATCAAATCAATAGTCCATAATTAAATGCAGAGTAGAAGTACTCTGTATATTTTACAATGCTTAATTAATCTTCCCCAATGGAACACTTTAATGCTATTTTCATAATGGGAATAGTATTATGAGCTCTAAGAATATTTCATTTTGCAATCACCTATTAATTATGAAGCATAGCTTTATTCATTATTTTTTTCCTTGATATGCAATCAACCTGCTCTTTATCATGGTCTGAATTTCATGACCGGTAAGGTGGTTTATATATACTTTAATTGTATCTATTTAATGAGTATTCTATAAGTTTCCCACTGCCTAAACCAGTACTATTTGATAATCATCTGAGTACCAATGTTATCAAGTGTGTTCTGTCAAAAATGTCATTTTCATCTTTTGGGAAGTTGCTTAAGCATAGTTTTTTTTTCTTTCTGGTTATAATATCATTGCAAAAGTCATTAAATAATATAGGAAGATACATTGTCATGACAAAAGACCAACCAAGAATGAATATAGGCCACACTTGTTTCTTTTCCCATTACAGTAGAAGTTTGATTTGCGATAATGGTAGTTAATTAGTTTGGACAATGAATCCAATCAATCTAGTCAGTTTACCAAGAAGAAAAGATAGTATTAAACAAGAACTCTGATAAGATTGGAATGGACTCTAAAATAGATTAATTAGTTCGATGCATGCTTTAATCAAAGCAGTGTTGTCATGTCCTTTAGTAGAGAATACATCTGTTCACACATAAAAGAATGAAGTTTCTTTTAAAAACTTAATTTCCAGTTCTTTTAATGAGAGTAATTTTTACATTCACCATGTTCTAGTTGAGTGTGAACATTATGTAGTATATGTCTATGAGTCTTTCAATTTAGAAATATGAGTTACTAGGAGAGATAATAAAACTGCCAAAACCCAGATACGTGAAGCTCGTAATGAACGATACAGATTCCTATATATTCTGCTCATAAACATTAGAAATGATGAAAAGCTTAATCTAGTTGTAAACAACCTGCATAATATATTTTATGGTTTTTCTCCTGGATGCATATACAAGTAGCAAACACAGTTAATAATATTGAGCAATCTGAGTTTGAAATCATCAGTTTCCTTTCAATTTAAAATGAGGATTGTGAAAATAATTATGCTTTACAACAAGTAGGCTTATATTTTCATTGGATATAAAACAATAAAATACTATCTCTTTACAAAATTTGAACACAACTAAAGTAAATTTTATTGTAAGAGTAAATCCAGATACATAAAATAGTATTAAAACTTGAATATATAAAATCAAGAAATCCTTAAATAACCATTATTTTGAATAACTGCATACTTAGATAAACTTGCTCACTGATATCATAATTGATCCAGATTCCACTTATGTAACTTTTCTTTTTGGAAGAGTAGTCCTATGTAATGTCTTTCTTATAATTAATGGTTGAAAAGTAAGGCAAAGTCTAAAACAGATGTTTTCATTACTACTTAACAGTGTATGATTTTTTGTGGACTATATGACTAAAAGGATAATCACTAACCTAATATGATTTAAACTCTAGACTTTCAAAAGAGAGAAATAAAACAGCAGTCTGCTATTTCTAACAGCAATGTTTATAAAACAAAAATTGGCTTCAATCCACATTTGAAAACAAAATATGCAATACCATATAAAATATCCAAAATACATACATACTGATGCAGAAAGAATCTGTTTTCTTGCCTGTGGTATAAGAGAGCCAATTTCTAAGAATTTGCTCAATTTTTCATGTTCTTCTCAGATTTATCAAGTCTTTTTCATGGATCCTGCCCAAGTTACTCTCAGCTGTTAAGTGATAAGCATTGGACTCATTCATATACTTAGCGAACGTTTACTCAGTGAGAAGTGTACTCTGTTAGGCCTTGGAGGGGTTGTAAGTATACATGAGGTGGTCTTTATTCTCAGGAAGTTTACACAAACACAACACAGGGTAGTGCACAAACTCTCCTTAAAGTAAGATGATTTCTGCATTGGTATTTAAACCTTGAAAGACAAAGACTGTGGGTAATTCAAAATAGGGAGGAAGGTAGAGAATGAAACAGAGAAGGAGACGTGAAAGATAGTACAAGTGTTTTGAGAATGAAGAG